AACAATACAACCCCTCCCATTTTTCTTCTGCTGTGCAAGATTATTTCCTCTGTGGCTATTAAGGCTCACCCAGCTTGAGATATCTGTCTTTCCAAATGAAGGCACTATTGATTTTGGGGGGTTTAAAAGCTTGGAATTTTTCTAGTTATTGCAGCATTTCGGTTGTCTTGTACTTTGAATTTTCTGCTATGTGTGAGAAATCAATTGATGGTAGGATAAGGAAAAAGAACTGCTTCCGTTTTATGTTTGGAAAAGAATATAGATAAATGTGGCACAAAGAATACCAAGTGAGTGAGCCCCATATGATACAATAACTTCGAACTCTATATTCACATCAGATTTTAGATTTGGGGAGAAAAAAAAAAGAAGTAGAAAATCCAAAGCACTTGCGGCCTTGTGTGGAAATATTCTTATGTGTATAAAAATTATTTGATGGTGTTCTGTGGCTACTGAACAATATCGAAAGAACAGGGAATGCCCAAGGGTGACTTCCTTTAATTGTAACTTGATCTCCTAGGCCCTTTGAAGCATTTAGAACAGGGGTATCAAACTCAATTTTATTGAGGGCCGCATCGGGGTTTGTGTCTGGCCTTGGTGGGCTGGGGTGGCATGGCCAGGGTGGTTTGTGGGCAGCTCGGTCACTCATGTTGGGGGCAACTGTGCTCTGCCAACTAAAATGGTCTCCTGAGATCCATTTTTGGCTGCTACAGCCTCTTGCAACCTTTCTGACCTCCGTTTTCACTGTCAGAAGCATCGTGGGCTGGTCCTTCACTGTTTCCAGGGTGGCCCTACGGGCCAGATCTAAGCACCCCATAGGCCAGATCCGGCCTGCAGGCCTTGAGTTTGACACCTCTGATTTAGAAGGTAAATTACACAATCTGATGGCTTTAAAGAGCATTTGGTGCACCAGGTCACAGAACTGATGCCTGCCTTTTAAGAGACATGCAGGGGTGGGATGCTACCGGTTCTGCCCAGCTCTATAGAACCGGTAGCTCTGAAGAACAGCAGATACCGAACTGGTTCTGTGTCTGCTGCTGTTTGGCCCTCTGCCGCCCCCCACTTCCCCGGGCTCTTACCTGTGCTTTATTTCCTACTTTTTCAACCTCAGCTGCTTTGCGTGGCACAGCTGAGGTTGAAGAAGCAGGAAAAACACTGCTTTCCAAATGCTGCGCACCTGTGCGCAGTGGTTTTCAACTGTCCGGAGGGCACAGCTCAAGCGTTTTGTATACACATGCAAAACATTACAGCAAACCGGTAGTAACACCGGTTGAATCCCACCCCTGGAGACATGGATTGGGAAAGCTAAATAGCAACGGTCTGCTTCTTCTGACCAAATACACCAAGCATATGCACCACTAACATGATGCTCAGACTTGCAAGCAAGTATAAAACTACCTGAATGCATCCCAGGTCTAAAAAATGTTAGTGTTGAAAATTAAAAACACCAACAAGAAAATAATGTTTACCACGTGAAAACGTTGAAAAATTAAAAGGCTGCCAGTGTAGATGCTATACTTGGAGAAAGGTTAAAATGGGGCTGTGCCTTGTTTAACATTGCTTAGGGACAAGGCATTCATGTCACCTTGGATTGGGAAAATGTCACGATTGTTCCCTGAACAAAAGGAAAGCTAATTAGAGAGGGTGGGGATTTAGTTTATTAAATGGGAAACACTTGACAGAATTTTGATTGAAAGGGTGTGGTGAATGGGCAGGGCACCTTCATGCCACGGGATTGTACAGACCAGATTGTTCATGGCACTGATTTGTCATAGAAATATGAGAAAGAAATGTATTGTATGTTTGTTGAAACTTATGATAAAGAGAATAGGTATCAGTTTTGGAATGTTTTGCATGCCTATGGAATTGAATGATGGTTGCTGAAACCAGAATGGCAATTTATAGGGGAAATAAAGCATTGGCTTCATTTATTATTTATTTATCACTGACATCTCTATGTTGTTCCACTCTAAATATGCATTGAGCAAAACTCACTATGGATTTCAACGCCAAAGAGGAGATTAATCACCAATAGGTGAGGCATCCCAGTTTGTTTCATATATTTATGGATAGATGAATGCGGTGACATTAGAGACATGCTGATTGGGGACATTAACATGTACATGCATTTGCACGCAGACCATGCTGTGTTGTTGGCAGAGAACACAAATGATTTGCAGCAAGGAGTACTCCTTATTTGTGCTGGGTTGAAAATGCATCTTTGTTGGTCCTCCCTGGCTAATACGCTGTTGAATTTCAGCTGTGTACTCTGGGGGCTATAGCACTGCTAACAACAACGACAACAACAACAAAAGCCCTGTGTGTTTCTATGCAGGAGGAATCAACATCGCAAAAAACAATATTTATTTTTAATGGCCTAGGATACCTGGAACAAGGAGCATTGTACTTGAGATCCAGTGGTCGGCTTTTGTACATTTCCTGATTTTTTTTTCTCTAGTATGTGTTTCCTTATTAAAATGCAGCACAACAAAAGCATATTCTGACTTTACCTCCACATTCCATAGGTAAATTTAGAAAATTATGGGCAGTCCTTGGAATTAAGTATGTCTAACTTACAGACAACTTGAATGTACAAATGGTCTGCTTACTACCATGTTTCCCAGAAAATAAGACCCTGTCATATATATTTTTTGCCACCAGAAAAGGCACGAAATCTTATTTTTTTGGGGGGGGATGTCATCCACTGACTAACCACACTCGTGCATGTCACCCCACCACCCGGCCTCCTTTTTGCTTTCAGAGAACTTCTTCTGCAGCCAACAAGGCTTTCCTGAAGGCCTCTGCAGCCAATAACAGAGTTCCGGATTGATCCAGAGCTTTGTTATCAGATACAGAGGCCTTCAGAAAAGCCTTGCCAGCCTTGCCAGCTGCAGAAGAAATGGGCTGGCAAAGCAGGTGTTGGGGTGTTCATGGCCTGGCTACAACTGTCCAAAGGTAAGTAGTAGGGCAGCTCCATCCCCCATCCCCACCCTAGCTTATCCTGAGTGGGTGGGAACTTAATTAGGGCTTATTTTGGGGGTAGGGCTTATATTGGGCACTTGGGTAAAAATCAAACTAGGACTTACTTTAAGGATAGGTCATATTTTTAGGGAAACGGGGCACTAAAAATGGCAGAGGGTGTTGTCCTTCCTCAAACCAATGGACCACTGAAACATGTTTTCATGAACCTCTGAAGCTGCACATTTTAAATAAGGTAGCCCTTGACTCACGACTACAGTTGAGCCCAAAAGTTCTATGCTAAGCGAGACGTTTGCTAAATGAGTTTTGCTCCTTTTTACGACTATTTTGGCCACAGATGTTAAGCGAATCAGTGAAGGGCTTAAGTTGGGAACATGATTTGTTAAGTGAATCTGGCTTCCCGATTGACTTTGCTTGTTGGAAGGTCACAAAAGGGGTTCATGTGACCCTGGGACACTGCAACCGTCATAATATGAGTCAGCTGCCAAGTGTCTGAATTTTGATCACATGCCCAAGGGGATGCTACAATGGTTGTAAGTGTGAAAAAGGGTCCTAAGTCATTTTTTTCAGTGCCGGTTGTAACTTTGATCAGTCATTAAATGAACTGTTGTAAGTCGGGGACTCTCTGTAATAAAGCTTGTTTTCAATGGTTCATGAAAACATTGAGCTGCTGAAAGGAGGAGAACGCCACCTGCTCTTTTTAGTAATAGTTCATGAGTTCCGGCTTACATAAAATTCAGCTTAAAGGTATATTTAGGAACAGATCTTATTCTTTACCTGGGGACTGTCTGTGATTGATGGAAGTGAGCAGAGAAAAATTAGAATAAATTTTCCCAACCTGATGACACTGTGAATAATAACTCCCAGAAATTCCAGCTATCATAGGAGATGAATGGAGTTTGGGGTCTCCTATTTCATATAACATTAAATAGCATAATAATAGAGACGGTGCATACTTCCGGGGATGGGATGTTACCAGTTCTGCCTGGCTCTATAGAACTGATAGCTCTGAAGAGCAGCAGACACTGAACCACTTCTGTGTTTGCTGTTGTTTGGCCCACCTGCCCATCGGGGCTCTTACCTGTCCTTTATTTCCTGCCTTTTCAACCTTAGCTGCTTTGCGTGCCACAGCTGCGGTTGAAAAAGCACGAATAAAGTGGCTTTTCAAGCGCTGTGCTCCTGCGTGCAGCGCTTATCGGCTGTGCTGTGGCCGAGCATAAGGTTTTTAACACACACGCATGCGTGCGCAAAATGTAATAACCGAACTGGTAGTAACAACACCGGTTGAACCCCACACTTGCATACTTCCCAAAATATATCATATAATATTTTAGGGCAACGTGGAACTTTCTGATAGGGAAGCACGTTTTGGGGGTGTCATTGGCTTTCCACGTCGCTCAGAATTATTCTTCATTCTTTTCCCTCCGATACAGGTAGACCTCGACTTACAATCATTCATTTAATGAGCATTCGCAGTTACAATGGTGCTGAAAAAGGGGACACTTGCAACTGCATCCCTATGGTCACATGATCAAAATTCAGACACTTGGCAACTGGTTCATATTTGTGACGATTGTAGTGTCCTTGGAAATCATGTGATCATCTTCTGACAAGCACAGTCATTGGGAAGCCATGAGCCCCTTAACAACCTCTGTGTCTAACTTAAGAACTGCAAAGATTCACTTAACAACTCTGAAAGAAAGGTCATAAAATGGGGGCAAAACTCACTAAACAAATGTCTCACTCAGCAACAGAAATTTTGGGCTCAATTGCAGTCATAAATGAAGGACTGTAATTCTCATCTGTTCATGATGGGTACAGTAAGTGGTTGGAGAAGGGAAAAGCCATAGGATAGAATTCTCTCTCCTATATTTCCTGGTGACCAGTAATGCCATTATTATAAATTACCAGTTATTTTGTGATGGCACTAAGATTCACAATCTTAGGTCAAAAAGTAGTTAGCATGTCAAAATTATTGCACAAGGAGCCCAGCGTTTGCCTAACGCAGTGTGGACGCCACGTACCTTCTCTCATCATGCCTGTATGACGTGGAGCTCCGGCCACTGGTCCAAATGAACATCTTAGAGGATTGGTCTCCACTGCCTCTCCTTACCGTTGAGGTCCTGGAGGAAAAATGGCAGGACCTAGGAGAAAATGGAGAATCTTCATTACTGTATGCTGAAAACCTGCTGGGCCTCATCACATCTAACCAACCCAACTGCCAAATTTGATTGCCTTGCAGGCTTTGCTCCACAGAGAGTGTCTTTTAGATGATTCCAGGTGATATGCAAAACAAGATGATGACCTTTCTCTTCCCTTCCAGGAGGTTCACTTGACATTAAATTATTTCCTGCTCATCTTTCTTAATTTCTTTTTCCTCCTGTTTTCCTCTCCCTTTCTGTCAGAGCTAAGAAAATCCCACTGGGCTGCCTTCTAAAATGTATGGGTTCTTTGTTCAAAGCAAGTTTACTCATAACTGACTAAGTTTCTTGTCCATCTCTAGTCATCTTTGCAGGCCTCTTCTCTCCCCGATAGTCTTTGATATGAACCTTTCTTTGGTCATTTCCTTTAAGCGTCCATGAGATATCCAACAACGATGATAGCTTGAAGCTGTATGAACTCATCTCTAACTGAATTGGCAGTTAAATGAAAATGGAGGTGAAAGTCCACCTTCCAGGTGGATTTCTGATTGGTGTTTCTGCAGCAGTTTCTGTGTGAGTGTGTGTGCAGATGCGTGTGTGCGTGTGATTGAGTGTGACATAGATCCCATGGCAACTTGATCCATGACTCCATGACTACCAAAGAGATTTGTTGACATTAGGTAAATGCTTTCCTCTCTCTTTTCACAGTCATTCCCCAACTTAGCCTTCCTCAATTTATCATCTTCTAGATTGAACAGAATAACAGGACCTCGGAAAGGACCTGGTAGGTCATCTGGTCCAACTCCCCACCCAAGCAGAAGACCCTACACCATTTCTGACAGATGGCAGTCCAGTTACTTCTTAAAAGCTTCCAGTGATGAAGCTCCCCCAACCTTTGAAGGCCAGCTGTTCTATTGGTTGATTGTTCTCAATGTCAGAAATTTTCTCCTTATTTCTAGGTTGAACCTCTCCTCGATCTGTTTCCTTCCATTATTCCTTGTCTGGCCTTCAGGTGCTTTGGAAAATAGGTAGTCTACAGTACCTATTATTCTCAGGCAACCACTTTTCCCTATTCTTTATCTGTTGGAAAGCAACATTCAAATGAAAGAAAAAATTGTAAAGAAACTGGGAATGCATTTTGCTTCTTCTCTCACTTATAATCATTGTCCTTCACACTATTTGGACCACTTGTCCCCAAATGATTTTTGTATCAACTGTTTTGTTGCAGTTTATCAGTGGCAGGTAATTTATGGCAATTGCTCTCAGAACAGCAAGTTTTCTTAAAAAGAGTAAAGCCCCATGCAGCTGAGCAACTCAAGACCAAGGAAGCAAGAACTACAAAGCTTTCTGTAAGATGCCTTCCTGATACCCTTAAGATATTTTTACCCTTTATGGCCTGGGTCCAGATTACCTGAGGAACTGTCTCACTGAAATGGGATTGGCTTGCCCGACTTTCTGTGGCAGAATGGGCATGCTCTGGATCTCATCAGCCAAGGAATTGCAGCTGGCCGTGTCCAGGAGAAGAGCATTTTCTGATGTGGTTCCAACCCTTAGGAATATGCACACCCCTCAAGGTGAGATCCGCCCCAATCCTCTTGGCCTTCCAAAAGAGCTTGTAAACCTAGTTCTGCCAACTGTCTTGGGCCCCCAATGAGGGTGTCCCATTTGGGAAGTGGTTAGTAAATTACTTTGGCCACCTAATGAGAAGAGAGAAGTCATTGAAAAGTACCCTGATGTTGGAAAAAGAGTGAAAGCAAAAGAAGAAGAGGATGGCAGAGGATGACATGGTTAGATAGGGTCATTGATGCAATGAATATAATTTGAGCAAACTTTGGGAGACAGTGGAGGACGGGGGGCACGGCATATTGTGATCCATCAGGTCATGAACAGTCATACATGAGTTAGCGACTGACAAAACAATAGCAGATTAGTAGAAGATCCACCTCCACCCTGTCTACGTATTGGTTTTTTATCTGTCTTAATATTAATTTTAATATTAATTTTAATGTTTTAACTTTTAATGGCTGATGTTTTAATGTTTTAATCCTGTAATTGTTTTTAGTCTGTTATTTATAGTATTGTAAGCCAGAGTAGATAGAAAGATAGACAGCATACAAATTAAGTAAGTAAGTAAGTAAGTAAGTAAGTAAGTAAGTAAGTAAGTAAGTACCTTTAATACTCATCTGCAATAAGTGCAGAATCTTGTAGTGTATTAGGAATTTTCCAATTCCTTCATTTATTAAAGTATTATTAAAGATGCTTTTTTCACAAACGTCTATCTATCTGAACTGTATGTATTTATTTGAGTGGCGTGGTGGCGTAGTAGGGAAGACTCTTGCTTTCCACCTGGATGGTTGAAAGTTCAATCCAAGGTAGTAGCAGGTGTTTCTCTCTTTTAGCGTACAAAGAAAAAAATAACTGTTGTGAACTCCGTTGTGGCTTCAGGAAGGGCAACCGGCCAGTAAACACTCAGCTCCATCCAGTCGCCTCGACTCTACCCCGAATTAAGGAATTTCATGGTCACAAAAAGGAGGGTTTTTAAAATTATTTATGAGATAAGTTGCCAACTGACTCGCTTTCTTTCACTCGATTCCTTAGATTAACATTCTCTCCCTTTCCTTGCCTTCCTGCAATCGCTCACAAGAAGAGCTGTACTTTAAAGTTCAGTGCAGTTTTTGGTATCTTTTCATCTATTTAATTTTAAGCTAAAAATATCTGAGAGTTATAGGAGGGTCAGCTCTGCCATGCAGCTGGATGAAAAAAAAATCTGTATTAAGCATTTGCCTGAGTAGGCAAGAGATGAATGCAAGAATTTATGCCTGAGATGCAAACCTTCTTAAATGAGTGGAGCAAAGAGGCCAGGCTTGAAGAACAGATGCCTTTAGCTTAACTGCGGCTGGCCTTGAGCCGAATTTCAAAAGTCTGCTGCTGCAGATAAGTTCAAAAAGAAATGTCTTTTCTCCTAGCAGAATACTGAGAAGAGGTGTCAGCGGTCACGTTATGCTTGCTTGTCCTTTGCTACCATGTGGTGACAAATTGACATGAACTCTGGGTAGCGGGGGATGGGAGAGGGGAGATGCTTGGGGGAAAACAAAAATAATTGCTGTATCTCCCTGAGATGCTGCCTCAAGGTCACCTGGCTGAGAGAAAAAGGGAGTTGCGGGCCAACCTAAGCTTGAACTGACTGTTCTGAAAATGTCTTGCTTGAACTTGATTGGTCGTGGGGGGTGGAGTTAGTGACGGGAGGCAGTTATGTGGCGGGGGGAGTTGAACTTAGAGATTTTGGTGTACAATTCTCAGTTCTGGCTCTGCATTACTACAATATACTTGACTTCCAATAAAAACATACCTTTCTCAACAAATGGAGTCAAGGATCATTTCTCGTTAGGGATTTAAGTCGTGGCAGGTCTACAATAGGTATGAAATAGATACATATGAAGGATAAGGGGTACTGCAGTGGCGCAGTAGTTACAGTGCAGTATTGTAGGCTACTTCTACTGACTGCTGACTGCCTGCAATTTGGCAGTTCAAATCTCACCAGGCTCAAGGTTGACTCAGCCTCCCATCCTTCTGAGTTGGGTAAAATGAGAAACCAAATTGTTGGGGGCAATATGCTGACTCTGTAAACCACTTAGAGAGGGCTGTAAAGCACTGTAAAGTGGTTTGTAAGTCTAACTGCTATTGCTATTGCTACTTCTGCCACTATTCTTTCAATAGCTCATAACAGATGAACTTTAGTATAAGTCAGCGGTATGCTATAGCTGTCAAAAATGTAATTCTGGGCTGCATCAACAGAGGGATGGTAATCACAGGAAGTGATAGTACTGTTCTATATTACACTAGTGAGGCCAACCTTGGGATGTTGCATCCAGTTCTGGCCACTACGATACAAGATGTTGAGATTCTGGAATGAGTGCAGAAAAGAAGAACAAAGACGATAAAGGGTCTGAAGGCTAAATCATACAATGAATAGCTAAGGGAACTATTCACGTATGTTTAACCTAATGAGGATCTTCTAATACTTAAAGGGGTATCACAGAGAAGAGGGGATCAATTTATTCTCCATAGCACCCAAGAGCAGAACAAGAAGCAATGGGCAGAACTTTGTCAGAGGAGATCCAACATGCAACTAAGGAGAACGATTAATTAATTAATTAATGGAATAGCTTGCTTCCTGGAATTGTGGGTGCTCCATCACTGAAGGTTTTCAAGAAAACACTGGACAGCCATTGCTCCAGATGGTATAAGGACTCTTGTCTTGGGAAGGGGATTGGACAAGGAAGATATTGAGGTTCCTTCCATTCCTATGATTCCACAAACTCAGAAGCAGCTTGGGATAGTAGCTCAACTCTTACAAAATGTTGGCCATATCCAAAGGGTGTGGTTCAAGGAGCTGCTGTTCGGGCCTCTTTTATTTATATTGGAAGTCCTTGAAACATCACCAGAACATAGGAGTATATGGTGTGTATGGTGTGTGTAACCAATGGTGGGATTCAAATGTTTTTACTACTGGTTCTGTGGGCATGGCTTGGTGGGCATGGCAGGGGAAGGATACTGTAAAATCTCCATTCCCACCCCACTTCAGGGGGAAGGATATCGCAAAATCCTATTCCCTCTCCACCCCACTAACCTGCTTTCCAGCTCTGTTCTCCTGTGCAGGGCAACCAAAGAAGACCCAGCTGATCAGCTGGGACTCGGGAGGCTGAGAATAGATGGGGGCAGGGCCAGTCAGAGGAGGGATTTGCCGGATCTCCAAACTACTCAGAATTTCCGCTACTGGTTCTCCAGAACTGGTCAGAACCTGCTGAATACCACCTCTATGTGTAACATTACTAGATATAGAATAGAGCTTGTCAACTCTATTTTGAGCACCAAGGATTGTATCAGACTTTTTAATGGCATCTACTCCTCTTCCCCCAAATACACTGGTGACATCTTGTGAGAGTTTAATATGCCCTGCACAAGCATATTTTCTATACAA